TTGGCTGCCAGCTGAGTTAAACTATCACAGGCTTCCAATTAATAGTTTGAAACAAGTAGAGTAATGTTCCATTTTTATTTTTTTTTTAGCTACTCCTAATAATTTGAGATGCATAGAAGAAATGCCTGACGTGTTGAGTGAGGATGTAGCACTACTTTTCATTTTATTGTCAAAACTATACATGTCTATATTATGAAATGCATTCATGCCTCATTTCTCTATTACAGTATCCCAACTAATAGTATAATCTGTAACCAGTCTTTAAAGAAATACGTAATACACATTTGCACTGTATGTCTTGTTATCTGAAATGTGCAGGAACTGGCATGCCTTCCTCTTCAACCTGACATGTTTACGATAGCAAAAAGAAAAAAATACAGAATTTATTTCATTAAGGGAGTGCACTGCAGAGGTCTGTGGAAAAACAGCAATTGGCTTTAGCAGCAACCTTTACTATGCACTTCATTTCTACAACTCACTATTTGACGTTGAAGTAACTTCTGACATAAAACATTAATAATGCTCTGTAAGTTGGGGTTGAGCTGAGTGCTCCAAACTAAGACACAATGCACATGAGAAACAAGTCAGAAATAAAGAAAGTAGGGCATTTCTGTCTGTGGCAAGGCTTACCAGAAGTTACCACTGCAAAGTGAAGTGTCCTACATAGACTAGAACAGAAAATGGTCTGGGAAGGAATGTAATTAAAACTAAAGGAGATGAACAATGGAAGAGAGACTTCCAGCAGGGGAAGAGCAAAAGGTCAAGAATCTGGGAAGCTGATAATCATTATCTCTGAGAAATTCTCACTGCAGAAGGGGAAAACTATCTGGCAGTGGCAGATCATCCTAAAGAAGAAAAAGAATTTGATCTAAGGGGAACTTCACCTAGCAGTGGTGGCAGCTACCCCTGCTGCTGTCTTCTGTAGTTATTGACCAAATATGAAGATTGTTATGTTAATGTGAATGGAAATGAGTTAATAGATTAATGCACATGAGGTCACACCCAGTGAGCAAGTTTCCGTTTTAGGTTCTTGAAAAGTTTATGCGTGACTTGCTCTTGAGGAATTGAAGAGGTTGGTAGAATGGCTTTGCTGTGGAGCCTTGGCATAGAAGATCAGAGGGCTCCGTGGTAACAATGTTTGGATTAAAAGATCAAAGAGGCTGTGAAATGCCAAATATAGGCACTCGCCCTCCAGACTTTAGATGTCACTCCTTTTAGGGCAATTTCAATATTAGAACACTAGGCAGATAAAAGAAATCTCTCAGTCTAAAACTGACAATCTTGGATGAATAAATTCACCTTGGCAGCAAAATGCAAAGATATTTGGATGTAATATGAAACATGGCAGAGGAATGCCCAAAGGTATGAGTGATGTTGCTATGCTGAGCATTGATAAGGCTTTCATGGTGGGCAAAAACATCAAGTATAAAGTAAGTTTAGTATTCGATGTGCTATGAACAAAATGAAGGACACACATTACAATCCATCATAAAATGGAATACGTAGTAAATTGTAGAAAGACCAATTTCCCTTCTTTCTTTTTGTTCCTGGGTATAGAAGTATGAGAAATCCTATTCAGGATCCTTCAACATTTCAGTCACATTTTCTTCTTGCACTAGGATGCCTGAACCAAGCAATCATGGCTTTTAAGATTCTTTCAGCTTTAAAGCCATGTTTTTAAGAACATGAACATGTAGCATGATTTTTTGCTGATCTTTGAACTCTCCCACACTGTAATGATATTAGCTGCTTATCTCAGACTCATGATGTGCTTTCATGTATTTGTGAAAGAAGAGACCAGTTCAAGAACTATAGGCACGGAGTCAAAAAACAATAATGAGGAAGCAAGAACACATAAAACAAGAATAGTGATGTTCAGCGCTGCATCCTGCAGTGAGGCCACGCACTGTACGGAATACTACTGATGTGTAGCATTTTTCAACGCTAGTGGTATACTCAGAAATATTATAATTAATTTCTCACAATATTATGATTCAAAGGGTGAAAAGTTCCTTTTATGAGGAAATCTTACCTTCTGCAGCTTTAGTAAGCATTGCTTGAAATAAAGACCAGTACTTGATTACTGGAATCAAAGGACACAAGTAATTCCCAACAAAATAATTTGATACCATTTCTGAACATAAAGTGGAAAATAGAAGGGGACAGTTATTGGACAATATATGTTCCCCTGGGAATTGAAAAGGGAAGTTGTGCATGAAAAGAAAGTAAGTTTACAGAACTGAGGAATGAGACTGAAGATGATGATTAGGCTAACAGTGACGTTCATGCACAAGGAATGTTGGTGTGTTTGTTTTGGTCTCCCGCATAAATGCAGTACCTCAGCTTGCCAAGTCCAGTATGTGAAAAAGAGCCAAAATTAGGGCTAAGAACACACTGGAAGAAACCTCATTAGCTTGAAATATACTTAACTTAAAATAAAAAGTTTCCCCACCCTGGCTTGCAGTATGGTTTCTGATTTTTAAACATTCTTTTCTTTTTCCTGTTGCTAAGTGAAAGTCTTAAATAAACAAAGGAAATCAACTGTGTTAAAAGGATGGAAAGGACTGTATGCAAAAAGCTGTCAAATCTACAGAGTAAGCAAACTGGAAAAAAACACTTCTTAACCTAATTCTTTCAGTTACAGCAATGCTGTGCAGTACTCGTGCTGTTCAGAGAAAGTTGGTGTGTTGTGGGTTAAAACCGTTTGGAATTAATTCTCTCAATTTAAGAAAAAGAGTTTCTGTAGTCTCAGTGATATGCTTTGGGCTTTTTTTTTGTTGTTGTTGTTGGTTGGTTTGTTGCGTTTGCATTTCTTTCCCAGAAGGAACAATTTTGATGATAATTGTAAGCATGAAATGTCTAGTACACTGTGAGGACCTGCAGGGTCATGCTCTAGTTACTTTAAGAGACTAAAGCTTCCTTCAGCTTCCCAATACACAGTCACAGGAGAGGGATGGAAAACTCCTGAGAGCAAACAGGTCATATGTGGGTTGAATCACCCATTGGATACTTGTTTCTCTCAGCTGCAGGTACAGGCAGGCTATATTTCTAACCAAGGAGCCTCAGCTGAACACCTAGGCTGACAAATCCAGGCTGTACTACTGGAGGAGCTAATCTTAAGGGCATTTTTATGACCTGAAGCTCACATAATGCCTTACCTCTCTACAGTGTGACCACAATGCAAGTTTGGATGTGAGCATGGTCTTGGGTCTTTTATCAATGGAGTATACCTAACATAGCACAGGAAAAAATATGGTTTAGATGTCATAGGTCTACTTCAATTACATAAATTGTATCTATCTATTCATATTAAATAGATATATAGCTGCTGGTTTAAAGAAATTTCAGTAGAGCCATAAAGTATCTCCTGCATGGCTTATGTGACAATTCTTAAACTATAATCCGCGAGCTATGTATGTCATATGTGCTATATATGTTACATAGGTTATATATGCTAGCTGTTCCAATTTCCAGCTACAAGCAGCTAACGTAGATAAAATATTACCCTAGATTCTTTCTCTTAATAATACAAGGGATGTTGAGCACTTGGGAACAGGAGGGCAGGTGGTCTGCATAATCATGGAACAGGTAAGGCCCCAGAGAAACTCTTATTAAGATAACCTTTTTATGAAAAATTTTTAGGATTCCTACAATAACAACAAAATCTAATCCAGTAATAGGGAGTGAGTACAGAATGCTACAGAATTTAGCACCAATAAATATGCTGCCTTTGAAATGGTGAATTAGATGTGCAGCAGGATCTGGTCACACTTCAAAGAATAATATGCACAGCTGAAGATCCATCTGTTTGCTCTTGCTATCACTGCTGAGGCTCCTATATGTTAAGCAGTCTTTTGACTACTTCAAAGCACATTTGAAGTCTTTGCTGTGCCTATCCCATGCACAAAAAAAGCAAACGTGCCTTAACAATATGAGTAGCTGGTATTTTTGTTCATTTTACTTGTAAATGAAAACAATTTCTTCCTGCTATGTATCATTTCTGGACTCTTTTTTTTTTTTTAGCTACGATAGCGAGGGCCGTCTAACAAACGTTACATTCCCAACTGGAGTTGTCACTAACCTTCATGGGGAAATGGAAAGGGCCATTACAGTGGACATTGAGTCCTCCAGCAGAGAGGAAGATGTCAGCATCACTTCCAACTTATCATCAATTGATTCTTTCTATACCATGGTTCAAGGTACGACAAACAAAAGATTTCTCAGCAGATACTAACTGAAAACTGTTTTCTTATGGTAAAAGTAACTGAAATCAGATGCATTAGAGGAAAACTTTAGAAGCATAGTGTTTGGAGGAAGGGGTGATACATAAATGTTTTTATACATATATAGAAAGAACTGTCCAGGGAAAGAAAGAGTTGCAATGAAAGTAGAATTGAGTATGTTTTCTAACCAAATAGCTTTTGTAAACAGCTATGGGAAACAGTCAGAATACCTACTTTGCATTAACAGGGAATCTTGGAAAGGAGAGAGAAATGGATTGAAAGGGAAATAGATGCAGAAGTAGTGTGAGGTGAGATTATAGCTTTAAAACAGCTAAAATGTGATGTCCCAGCAGGCACATCCTTGCAAAAGTCAGTAGTTACAGTATGTTTAGGATGAGGCCAAAAACGCCTGATGAAACAGAGGAAAATGTGTTTTGTGCCAGTCCAAAGAGTATTCTCTGAGGGTGGGATTTTCTTAAGTGTTTAAGGGACTTTGAAGATAGGTCCCAAAGGCATTTGTGCTCTCAACTGATACAGATATTCTTACCAGTCTCACTCTGAGTGTTTATTACCATTGGGTCAGTTATGTGAAGTCAAAGCGTTACATGCACGTATTGCATAAAGTATGGAGGACAAAGGCAGACTCTTAACCCACGCAGGTAACCTGTGCTTCTCTTTTCTGCCTTTCCAGATCAGTTAAGAAATAGCTACCAGATTGGTTATGATGGCTCACTGAGAATCCTGTACGCCAGCGGCCTGGACTCACACTATCAGACAGAGCCACACGTGTTGGCTGGCACTGCCAACCCAACAGTGGCAAAGAGAAACATGACCCTCCCAGGGGAGAACGGGCAGAACCTGGTGGAGTGGCGGTTCCGGAAAGAGCAAGCCCAGGGAAAAGTCAACGTGTTTGGCCGAAAGCTTCGGGTAAGCATGCGCACATGCATGGTATCTACTGCATTCTCATTAAATGGGAGGAAATGTAAATACATTCCTATAGGCATTGCCATCCAGCAACCACAGAATATTTACTGTAGACAAGCTTACTGTAGAGCTGGAAGTACTTGCTTTTATTATTTCATTTATTGGCTGGTTTTCCTTAGTAATTGCTCTGTTCTGTGGACTAAACTGTTGTTCTTAGCCTGGAATGCATTGGAATGAATCAAGATAAAAGAATAATTTTCTGCTTTCCTTCACTGTTTTTGTTTCTGGTACTGAATTCACACACCTGATTTTGAATCTCATTTTAAATTATTATACCAGAAGTTACCACACTCCTAGCTTTTTCTTTCTTTTTTATTTTAAATAAAAATTGGGCTAATACTTATTTCTGGTAGAAAGGGTTTAACTGTGTGTGCGTGTGTACAGCCTATTCCCCTAACATATGTCTTTACCATTCTGTTGGTATTTCTTCTTCCTATATAGTGAGTGAAATATAAGTAGGAAGCAAACTATGATTTATGACAGCCACTTGGTAAAGACAACATAGATTAAGCATTTAAAATTGGGTTGCCAGGAGACCATTTCAAGACCACATCAGAGGTCTGACTTACTATGAGAACTGAACTCAGTTGTTTATTTTAAACAACTAGGCAGTATATCAAATGAAGGTAAGTAATTGCAGACCACTTGACTTCTAAGAGGTTACATACCATTTTAAATCTTAAAATATTTTATATGTTCTTTTGGGATGAGAAAGGAGGGAATGCCATAATGAACCTTATATTTGTCTCTACCACTTGCTCTGCAAAAATAATGGATTTTTTCCAAAAATGAAGACTGACTACACACAGTAGCTACTGCTCAAGAACAGCAGAATTGCACCTAGCTATGCTAGCTGTCTTATATCAATAAGAAAGAGAAAAAGGAAGCCATGCTTCTGGAGCTCATCTTTGTGCTTCTGGTTCATAGGCATGTCATTATGTATCCCCCCCAGTACTATGGGATAATACACCTGCCAGTTCATTCATGAAGGAAGCCCAAGAGAAAATAAAATAACCATAGCAATGGCATTTGGTTTTGGCAGTGAAACAAACCACCATGAGTCCAGTTCTCAAAAGTGAAGCAAAATCTTGGCATTCAAATGCAGAGGAGGTAAAAGAAATGTCATGAGCAACTTTAACTTGGAAGAGTTAACAGGAAAAAACTAACAGCAGAGAAGAGTGAAAGATTTAACAAGATGGAGGGGAAACATAGAATCATAGAATAGTTAGGTTGGAAAAGACCACTACAATCATCTAGTCCAACCATAAACATACCATTGCCAAGTTCACCACTAAACCATGTCCCCAGGTACCACATCTACATGTCCTTTAAATACCTTCAGGGATGGTGACTCCACCACTTCCCTGGGCAGCCTGTTCCAATACTTGACAACCCTTTCAGTGAAGAATTTTTTTTCCAAACTAAACTTCCCCTGGTGCAATTTAAGGCCATTCCTTCTTGTCCTATTACTTGTTATTTGAGACCAATGCCCATCTCACTACACCCTCCTTTCAGGTAGCTGTAGAGAGAAATAAGGTCTCCCCTGAGCCTCCTCTTTTCCAGACTAAACAATCCCAGTTCCCTCAGCTGCTCCTCATAAGACTTGTTCTCCAGGAAACAGGAAAGACTTTACTCCAGGAAAGTGAGAGTTTATGATAAAATAGTAGTTAAAAGAATATATGCAAATAGGACAAGTAGGGCAGGTGGAGAACATGGGCTAATAAGAGGAGAACACATAAAACAAAGTAAAGAAACTTGTCAGCAAAGAAAAAAAAGGAAGATTTTGGCAATTTTATTTACATGGGAAGATATTGCAGAAATGTGACTTGGGGTTGGGGGGGAATGTAGGAAAGTAGAGAAAGAAAACAAGAGAAAGAACAGGAATAACTTAGGGAGCTTATCATTTCCATCTACTGATATGTCAGTAACATTTTGCTGCAAAGAATACAAATGTAGACAAAAAACAGTGACAAAGTGTATTGCCAGTAAATCTACTCATATATATGACACTTTCACTGTGTTACATATATGCAGTATCTAACATTACAAAGTACACTCTCAGGTATTCTCTTGCTTTTCTATCTTGTATTAGTTCTACCCACTACTAATAGTCTTTATAAAGAAATTAATTAGGAATTATGTCACCGTTCCTTAACAAAACAATCCTCTGTCAATATTACTTTTGCTCAGACTTGTTTCGTATCTGTTCAATAAGCTAGTTCTGTCCCTGGATCTGTACATCTGGTCTGTAGGCTGGCCATTGGCAGAGGTTCTGACAGTCCTCTACATGAAAGAGCCTTTCTAAGGCATTTGTGTTGAGGCCAGGCAGACCCTCACTCACAAGGGTCTCAAATAAAGGAACTGGTATGAGCTCTGTCTCAAGGGATGCACCCAGAGTAGACAGGTAACACAGACAAGTGAGCTCACAGGAAGAGTTTACTTTGCCTCCTCCCGAGACCAGACATGCTCCAAGTTCTGCAGAGGTCCCCAGTTTTCACATTACCTCTTGAATCTGTCTGTAAGGCATGGCAATATACTCCTCCTCATGGGGGAATCACAGTCAGATTTCATGCTTCTCACTGGAAAGAAAAACAGGAGTTAAAGTAGAGCAGGATAGATGGACACCTAAACTACTGAAACGTAGCAGGACAGTAGGTAGGGACTGTCAGAAGACTCAGCTTTATGTCTTTAAGTTCTTCTTCATTGAAAATTTCCTGAATTACTGCTTTTATCATAATATTTCAAATATATTTGGAGCGTGACTGTCTTAGATGCAATATAAATGTTCAAGTTTTGCTAAAAAGTGCCCTGGTAGCGGAGCTGTTGTTAAGAAACACTTCAGTTGAAGGCAGTACTTGAGCTGACATAGTTATTCCAGCCACATACTGCCCAATGAAAAAAGCTGTATCACCAAAACTTGTTGTTATCGTAATTGCTGTCTGTATTACAAGATTATGCAAGCACAGCCAACATTTCACCAAAAGCTCACATCTGAAAGCAAGAGCTCTGCCAGCAGAATCTGGAAGCACAAATCTGGCTGGAGAAAGAGGCATTTCCTCTCTTCCCCCTTGTATCCTGCCCTTACACAGACCAGACAGATGGGAAGTGAGAAGGCAAGGGATGTTATTATCCCATTTAGCAGATAAGGCAGTGAGACAGCCAGATTAAGTACTTTCCTGCAATTTACACCGGAAGGATGTGCTTAGCCAAGAAATTAACCACAGTTGCTTGGACATCTGCCTGATCCATAAAACGACCCTTCCCTCTTTGCCAATTCAGAAATCAGAAGTGCCCATTCTCACTTCAGTGTCTGAGAGGTAGACAAGAAAATTAATAAAAATCATAATTAAATGTAAAATAGGGAAGGGAAGATGGAGAGAAAGGGAGGGGAAAAAAATCAGAGAAGCAAAACAGGCAGGGACATGCAGAGATGAGTGCAGGCATGTGTGGGAGAGGCCAAGAAATAAAAGCCAGAGATGAACAAGATTTAAGAGTGAATTTAGGCAAAGGAGCAAATCTTAGATGTTGGAAGATTTAAACGAAAGCTACCTGAAAACAAAGAAGTCCAACAACAACAACAAAAAGAAAGTAAATGGGAATACTTATAGGTTTAACCTACTTCTAGAATCAGTCTTGTAGCATTAATTTTTCAAAGTATATTTAAATAACATTTGATGGCTCATTAAATAGAGCCATAAAATTAAATTAAATTAAACTAACTGTTCTGCATCTGCTAGACTTTGTGTTCCTTCCTTAGAAGATTTACATAAAAACATTATTTTTGTTCCTAAATTGATAGTGCACATTGTTCTCATGCCAATGATTTACTATTAAAAAAGACAAAGGTAATGTAGATAGACAGATATAAACAAAGCTGAGCATTTGTAGGATTTTTTTTTCATATTTGCCTATGACCCATCACCAGCATTTTAATACCTTTTATGCCAGTATTAAAGAATCTAATTTATATTGATCTTTTAGAAGCTTATCAGCCTCAAGGTATAAGTACCAACATCCACGATATATGGATTTTTGAACACACAGCACTGAAAAATGCAAAAATCCTCAAGTAATTTCTTTGGTCAGGATAACTATTTTCTTTTTGTTTTACAAATGCTATTTAGCCATCTTTCTTCACGTCTTTGTAATATGCGTCAAGTACTTGAAAAGGAATTTTTAAAAAATTCTAGATACACATAGCTGTATGTCCATTTGTCCCCTACTTCCCATATGTGAGCAAAATACAGTGTTGCAAACTCTTAGTTATCAGTGTTTCATCCCCACCTGGAATAACTTTAAAGAGACACAGAAGATAGAGAAATGGTTTGCAAATGAACAAAGAAATCCTAGGGGCTTGTTTGAGAACACTGGAAAACAGTTCAATGCAGAGGGGGTACAGAGAAGTACAAAGATAGCAGTGTGGGAAAAGAAAGTCAGACATTTTTCTCTCATAAATACAAAAAATGAGAGCTGATTCAATGAAACTGAAAGTATATTTAGAACACTAAAAGGGCCGGGAGGATTTCAATGTAAAAGCATTATAGAAATCACCATCCACCACTATAGTTTACATACACAAATAATACAGTTTTCAACATAAAAGCTAAGGCTTTAGTTTCAAATTGAAATAGTTATAAACTTCAAAGAATTCATAACTGGTTTTCAGTGGTTCAGTAATCTTCCACTCATTTTTGGCTTTAAGTGGTCAGTTAACTAGGTGAAAGACATAATCCTCCACTAAGGATTTCAGCTGCAGAAATATATTGCAGCAGTGGATGGTATACCGAGTTAAACTTCCATTTGATCCAGAATAGGAAAGCCAATGTTCTAAAAACTGTTTTATCTTAATTTCAAGATTTAATTTTGTATTTATCATTCTGAAAAATACTTGCTGTGGAGGATTAGGATTCAGTTCTTTCTTAGCATGATTGTTCGCTGAAATGGTCCCATTTATTACAGAAGTTTTCAGTACACGTCTTTCAGTATTTTCTTAACAGTTGACTAAGCTTCAAGAAAGAACACACTGCAACAAATTCAGCAGCCATCTCTTCATATAATGAGAGCTTCTAAAGTAGATGCTAATATAGTGCCTTACATTTATATCAAGAAGTTGCTAAAATAATTTACGCACACAGCAAATCAATCACTGTAAAAGGTATTTAAAGAATAGGTAGCTGTGTGGAAATAATAGGTGGCTAGGGTTTGAACAGCATGATTGATTGTGTCATTTTGTTTGCTTTAAAAAGGTTAATGGCAGAAACCTCCTTTCGGTCGACTTTGATCGAACCACAAAGACGGAAAAGATCTACGACGACCACCGTAAATTTCTGCTGAGGATTGCCTACGACACATCAGGGCACCCCACCCTGTGGCTACCGAGCAGCAAGCTGATGGCTGTCAATGTCACCTATTCATCCACAGGTCAAATAGGCAGCATACAGCGAGGGACAACTAGTGAAAAAATAGAGTATGATGGACAGGGAAGGATAGTGTCTAGAGTGTTTGCTGATGGGAAAACTTGGAGTTACACATACTTGGAAAAGGTAAAGATCACTCAGGTTTTAAAAAATGCTTTGAATGTCCTGAAATTCTGCAGCATCTGACTGCTGCATAGAAAGCAAAAACAGGTAGTGGAAGCACATTTCAATTACTCTGAGTATCAACATGTGATTCCTAGGGGAATGTTTTATACAATGGATATGTAATCTCGCTGTAGCTAATTGCTAAGAATTGATATCTTTTTAAATTATTTAGACCAATGACTAACAAGGAGCAGCTATATTTACCTTTTATCTTAACATTTAAAATAAGGTACAGGGACTAGATCTCTGCAGTGTAATTAAGTTAAAAATAATTTGTTTGTAAATCCTTCACTGTTGGGTTTTTTTTTTCACTACCAAGAAAAGCTCTTGTTTCTAAATAGTTACAGCTGTCAATTTGTAGCATCAAAATAAACAATAGGGAATCAGGAATCTGCATTATATATAGCGATTGTGGAATGATAGCTCTCCTTCTAGAAATACCTGTGAAAGTTCTCTTTATGAGATCTCATGCCTGCTATGCAAAAAGAGAATCCATTTCTTTCTGGGGTTTAAATATATTGCTATTGAAGCTGTTGCTCAGCAAACTGTGATTCTGTGAAATACAGTTCACTAGTCAATGCAGGCATAATTTAATCAAGACTTACGATACATAATAGCCACACATCAGAAAAATGTCAGAATAATTCCAAGTAGCTCCTTTTGATATAAATAATCAAACAATTGTTTTGCCTACGTCTTAAAAGCTTACAGAAGAAGAATACGGTATTCAGGGATCTCAGGCTATTCAAATTCTTCAAAAATAATCTCTAATTGTAGGGAAGAAATTGAATCTCCCATATGTTGTTCTCCTTGTGAGTTAATGGCTCTAAGACAGTTTTACTTCTTCCCATATTAAACATGACTTATCTGAATCCATTGACAATCTGCTGTTTAGCTGTGAGTGCTTGATAAAAGAGTGATACTGTCATAACAAGTAGCATATTATGAATGTGGAACTACTAATTACAGAACCCCTTACAATTAAGCAACCAAGTAAATTAGGCAGGGAGATGTTAACAACGTGTTAAGGTCAAGGATAACTCAATTAAAGAGGAGATAATTTTCTCAAGTGGGAATGTCACATTTGTGTGAAGAAACAGTGTCAGGATATGTGGGGGAGGAGTACTCCACCATTTGTCACATGGTAAAAATCTGTTCTTAATTTTCAGTCAATGGTTCTTCTGCTTCATAGCCAGCGGCAGTATATCTTCGAATACGATTTGTTGGATCGGCTTTCTGCTGTCACCATGCCCAGTGTTGCTCGTCATACCATGCAGACTATCCGCTCCATTGGCTACTACCGGAACATATACAACCCCCCGGAAAGTAACGCTTCTGTTATAATGGACTACAATGAAGAAGGGCAGCTCCTCCAAACTGCTTTCTTGGGGACAAGCCGAAGAGTATTATTCAAGTACAGACGGCAGACCAAGCTCTCAGAAATTTTATATGATAGTACAAGAGTTAGTTTTACTTATGATGAGACAGCAGGAGTCCTGAAAACAGTAAACCTCCAAAGCGATGGTTTTATCTGCACCATTAGATACCGGCAAATTGGCCCCTTGATTGACAGACAGATTTTCCGCTTTAGTGAAGACGGAATGGTGAATGCCCGATTTGACTACAGCTATGACAATAGCTTCAGAGTGACTAGCATGCAAGGTGTCATCAATGAAACCCCATTGCCTATCGATCTCTACCAGTTTGATGATATCTCTGGCAAAGTTGAACAATTTGGAAAATTTGGAGTTATATATTATGATATTAACCAGATCATTTCGACAGCTGTAATGACCTACACAAAACACTTTGATGCACACGGCCGCATCAAGGAAATTCAGTATGAAATATTTAGGTCATTAATGTATTGGATTACAATTCAGTACGATAACATGGGACGAGTGACAAAAAGGGAAATTAAGATCGGGCCATTTGCCAACACCACGAAATACGCTTATGAATATGATGTAGATGGTCAGCTCCAGACAGTTTATCTGAATGAAAAAATAATGTGGCGATACAACTATGACCTGAATGGCAACCTCCACCTGCTCAACCCCAGTAGCAGTGCCCGTCTGACACCGCTTCGCTATGACCTGAGAGACAGAATAACTCGACTAGGTGATGTTCAGTACCGATTAGATGAAGATGGATTTCTGCGTCAGAGGGGGACTGAAATCTTTGAATACAGCTCAAAGGGCCTTCTTACTCGAGTTTATAGCAAAGGCAGTGGGTGGACGGTGATTTACCGTTATGATGGACTCGGACGACGAGTTTCCAGTAAAACTAGCCTTGGACAGCATCTCCAGTTTTTTTATGCAGACCTTACTTATCCAACCAGGATAACTCATGTATATAACCACTCAAGTTCTGAAATCACATCTCTTTACTATGATCTGCAAGGACACCTTTTTGCCATGGAAATTAGCAGTGGAGACGAGTTTTATATTGCATCAGACAATACGGGGACACCACTGGCTGTTTTCAGTAGCAATGGTCTCATGCTTAAACAAATTCAATACACTGCTTATGGAGAGATTTATTTCGACTCTAACCTTGACTTCCAGCTGGTAATAGGATTTCATGGAGGCTTATACGACCCACTGACCAAGCTAGTCCACTTTGGAGAAAGAGACTATGACATACTGGCAGGCCGGTGGACAACACCCGATATTGAAATCTGGAAGAGAATTGGGAAGGATCCAGCTCCTTTTAATTTGTACATGTTTAGAAATAACAATCCAGCCAGTAAAATACACGATGTGAAGGATTATATCACAGGTAAAAGAAGGTTACTTAATTGCAAGACTGACTCCCACTTGCTCAAAAAAAATCCCTTTCTCTGTTCTCATCATCTGGAATATGATTATCTGGGTTACAGGTTGAGGATACTGTCTGGGGAAGGTTAGTAAAAAAAGTCTCAAGGAAGATAATTGTTTAGAAAAGTACTTGGCGTTTAGAACCAGATCAACAAAGTGATTTTAGCTTGGGGGTGCTGGACCTACAGACCCAATTTAGACTGGAATTCACAATTTTGGTAAAGTACCTAAATATGCCCTATTTGGAAAAGTTCTTTATGAGGAAGCATTAAGAACTTAACAATGAGAATAATTACAGGAATAGTGAAATAGCAAACGGAAGATACTGAAAATCTCTCATCTAGCTTTAGACTTTAAGTACCTTCTTAAGAGATTAAGAACCACAGACCATGATTAGCTTTCAGGTTTAGGTAACTAAACCTAAACCTCGTGCCCTACGCAGTCCTTATAGTGCTTTAATATTGGACTGTTGGCCCAAAAAGGTAATTCAAAGCATCTCAGTTGGGTTTGGTTGGGTTTTCCAAAGTACATTTTGGAACACCAGTAGAATACATCTCTTCCTCTCCAAATGTAACACAAAGTGCCTCAGCTAGAGATCTCAGTGCATTCGGAGAGGAAAGAGGAGTCCTAGGTTCTCCTTACAATACTGTTACACATTGCCCAGTGCTCTTATAATGAAAAAATAATAGACTCCTTCAGCAAATACCAGAGTAAGAACCCCTGAAGACTATTCATGAGAGTTTCCTTACGTGTCGATTAGTCAGGCTTCTTCATGGGTCTGGGCTACTGAGCAGTAAAAAGTGCATATTCATGGACCAAAAAGACCAAAGACACGAGGGAGTGAGACGGTAAGGTAGCAAGGGCAGGAAGGATCTCTCTGTGACCAATTTAACTCATTAACCTGGCAAATACTCACTAGAAGTTGGGTGATATTTGCCAGGGTAGATTTTTGCAAGGCTACTAATGTAATTGAGCTAAGAAAGAAAAGTCCAGTAAGCTCTAGGGCCAGCATAAAGTAATGAATACACAGCCAGAAGCAGGAAGAAAGAGCAGGATATGGAAAAAGGAGTGAGTTTCTCTTTTGGCAACAAAAACCTGCTAACGTGCACTTCTTGTAGAATTTGAGTTCCTAGAGAACCTATATGGTTTCTGTGGGTCTCGAGTTAGTGATGTGTAGTGTTTTCCATTATTTTACATACAAGAAAATGTGATTGCATGTCACCAGAAGTTTCTGAAAAATGCATTGCTCAGATACATTTGAATTTTCATATTTGAATATATGTCAATAATCCAAAATATTTTACACAGACAGTGCCAGACTACAGGAGGGGCTCAGCCCCACTTACTTACGAGTCATGAGACTGCCACTCAGAAAAGCATCCTGGGAATCAAGTGGGTTTGCATTAATTTAGCAAGCAGCAGGGTTGCTAACAGGCTGCCTGGGAGCACGGATAATAACAGACCTTTGAATCCATCCTCTTTTAGCAGCATGTGCTGTAGGGGATGCAGTTGCAATCAGATTGTTTGTGGCATTGAAAATGAAGCACTTAGTTCAAGAATTTCCCTCAAAATACAGTTTTATTTCTTTTCTTAACATCTTTGATGTAGGAATACACAGGCACGCAGTGCTCATATAAGGTTATCATTACAATGAGTAATTTGGCTGACTGGCAGTTTTAGATGCAGAGCCTCATGAGCCGTATTATTTATCTGGAAAGGTTAGAAATTATTTTAAGGTAAATATTTTTTATTCTTTTAACATTTTGAAAAATTTGGTTTCTTGTTCCACTTATTTGGGTTTTTCTTAAATGAAAACTACTAGACTTGGTAAGGAGCACTCTGAAAACTTCTGCTAAGCTCAGTATTTGTGAAAGATAAGAGTAGAAAGACAGAAGCAAGGCACAGCACCCATTCTTGCCCAACAGTTGTTAACTTATTAATTTTTGGCATCCCTATTGTATTTATTTTTAACAGAACATAAAATGTATCGCAAATAATGTTATCTAATACCAATTTAGTATCCTGTCTGCTTACTGATGCAACTGTAATACATTTCATTAGCTTTTAATTTCATCGGTCCAACTTCATCTTGAAGAGGGGAGATTTCTCTTGAATCAACGTACAATATCTGCCAAATATTTTAAAAGGTAATTTATCTCATAGGTGTTATTTCAGGGGTCGTTTGAAGACATTACAATAACACATACATAACATAAGGACAGGATGTGCTCTGCAGTACTCTTCCTTTCTTGCTTTGTTTTAAAGTATTAATGATGAAGGTACAACATAGTGTGTTCAGCCTGGCCATGAAATCCCAGTTAGTTTAGGCTATATTAGAAGGAAATCTCACTTTAATTGTGCCCCTGTAGTTGTTCTGGAAGACACTGAGGCCTTCAGAGTTGTTGAAACCTGCAATGCCTTTCAAATAAGCGTAGTGTAACTCTTACATAGAACAAAAGTTCTCTTGTAAGTTGAGAACTTCAGGTTTTCTGCATAGGCTTGCTATTCTAGCTGTAGCACAAATCTAAATCCATCCATATCAAAATGAAGACTGTTGAATAATGTTCATGTTACGGAAGGAAATCAACTATGCCAAAAACTATTCCATGTAAAAGTGATACAATTGCAAACTACAGAACAATTCTAATATTTTTCTCTTTTTTTTAAATAATTCTCTTTCAGATGTTAACAGCTGGCTGGTGACATTCGGCTTCCATCTGCACAATGCCATCCCTGGTTTCCCTGTTCCGAAATTTGATTTAACAGAACCTTCTTATGAACTTGTGAAGAGCCAGCAATGGGAGGACATACCAGTAAGAAACAAAACTAAACATACAAATGGAAATGACAGAATGTTCCCTTCTATTCAGATCTTATTAGGCATGGATAATCCTGACAGGGTTACTTACTAAGTTAAATCTGAACAGTGCTTTTCAAACCTCTAATTTTTATCTACTTTCAAAAGAATTTAATAAATTACAGATGGTGGGTTTTTTCTTACAGATTTGCCAAGTTAGGTCCCATTTTAAATAAGCTTTTGTTTGCTTTCAGCCATAATAAAAGTACAGAAAGACAATAATCAATGCAAAGAAGTTTAAGACCCTTTAAAGATGTCTAAGTTTTGTAGCAGAAACTACAGAGATTAGATTCATACTAACACTCTGCCTGAAGGCAGAAACTGAACACTGTAGTAAAAAATAGACTGTGAAATAAACAGAAGAACAGGTGATATAAATTATGCATACCAGGCACCACAATTTTACTTCTCTTTAATATTAACCATGTTTAATATGTAAAGATAAAATATTGAAAATGAAATTACTTGAGGTAAAAACCCATTACATTACAGAAAACCAAAACTCAAGTGCTTATGAAGTTCTTCAGGAAGAAAAAAAAATAACTTCAGTCCTGAAAACCTGCTACAGTTTTAAATGATGGAAGAAATAAATGTGGAAGTTAAAATCTAAATCTGCTATTTAAGAAAATTATATTTATAAATCAAACTTACTGAAAGATCAAAGATGTATGCCCTCAAAAATCCTACAGTTCTCAGTTAAGAAGAATTGTTAAGAGACAATAAAATGGGTTATCCCATTGTGAGGAGTCAAAATAAGATCTATTTTTGCAAGAATCATGATAAAGAACTTTACAGGATTAAAAGAGGATATGATCTTGAAGAACCTTAACACCTAATTAATTTAGACAAAAAATCATTAGAAGGGTGGCCCATTAGAAGGGAGCATATGGAAGCTAATTTTGCATGCATGAAGTGACCTGCTATGTATATATATATTTTTAATAGCCAGGGATTGAGTAACGGGGAAAGACCTTAGAGCACAGCGTAAGAATAGTGTCTCCCATGAACAGCGGCAGTAAAGGAGGAGCATTGCAAGTTCTCCAGGGGAGATGTTTGTATCAGGAGATAAGAGGCCTGTCATCAGGCATGGCTGCAAAGACTGTCAGAGGTTATTTATTTACATCTCAAAGGGTAAAGAATGCAATTATCCACTAACACCAGCAAAGGTGCATCAGGAAAAGAATCAGTCTGGTCAAAGAGATGAGAGCAGATAGCTAGTTGTCAAAAATCTTCAGGAAATACTCAACAATGTGAGGAGTGCCAGGGGCATGTGACATGACAGAGAGAGAGATGTGGGAGGAAAACAAAGATTCAGAATTCTCAGGTAGGAAGAAGCTGTGACTGATATTTACTGTTGAACAAGCAAATGCAACCAGGATCCAGAACTAAACACACAAACCACTTAGTATTTTGAAGCATTCTGGAGTGAGTGAGCTTTACTGAGCTCTAAGGTTTTGCTTCAGAGCTCTGAGGATACATGTTAAAAATAAACAAACTTTGTCATTATGAAGTTGCTATAGTATCTTGCTGCTCTCACTGATGAGCATGCTGTCTAGAATATATTTTGTGCTCAACAGCTTTCACATAGGATTTACAACAGCTGAAATCCATATTTGTTAGCAAGTGCAGACTCAGGAAGAGTTGAGAGTCCAAGTCAATTCGTAATTCCCTCAGGAACTATCCACTCCAGAAAGCCGCCCTCATGGCAGAGCAGAGAAGCCTTTCCAAACGTTTTGCGAGGCTTTGATTAGCAGCAAGGCTGAATTAAGGTTGTAGGAGTCTGTTAATGACTCCTGCTTGGCCTCCCACCCAGAAATTTATCAAAACTAAAAAGGCTTTTGCCTCATTTGTCAGCAGTGACTCAAGTGGGTTAAACAGTATTTTACTAAAGGCAGAAAGGGTCAATTGGAAGATAAACTGGATCATCTACAGAAACTATTCCTTTTCAAAAGTGCAGCCAAAGCTGTTTAAACCTTTCTGTTTTCTGCTGAAACAACTGCAAGGGCAGCTGTCTGCTCCCCACCTCTGTCAATATTAGTTCATTCACAGCTTGTAGCTGTTAAGACCCAGGGTTAGACAGATAAGATTTGCCTATTCTGAGCAGTTGTAAGGTCTCACCCCAACCACAGCTGACTCCATAACAGTGAGCTGCCCTGCTATCTAGCTGCACTAGCT